AAAAATTCCTAGGTTGTAGAAAAATGTTGTTCATGTGTCCGCAAAAAGTTAAGAACAATTTTTTCCCGGATTAGAAGCTCTTTTTACACAGATCCACACACAAATGGACTGCATTTTGCAATTGAGCACTAAAATTTGTGTCTCAAGTTTAGAAACAACGTAAGTACCCTCAGTATCATATGCACATAAGTGTTTTTATAGATGAGCCAGAGATTGTAGCTCCGAATTTCAAAATTTAGTTCAAATTAAGTAACGTTGACTCAGACAGCTCTCGGCGCTCTCTGCTCAATCTTCACCAGATTAAAGGCAAGAAGGAAGTAAAGCAGTCGATAACCTAACAAGGTTTAACAGTTAATTTCCACCACGACGCACTTTTAGACCCCGGCTCGTCAAAAATTCTTCCAAAGACACGAGGCACTCTGGAAATTCATGAATTATCATCCAAAATTGTTACATATTGTTACTTTGCTCTATGATGACCCATGTCTCCAGTAAAAATCTTAGCTTGAGGATATACGTCTGGTTTTAGAAATACAGCGTTGACAAGTTTCCATATTTAAGCTTTAAAGATTATCGTATTATCAAGTATCTTACTTTCTGTAAACAACTGTCATTGGATGTTTCATGATATTTTAAGACATTTTATCAACAGTTAGTGTACATTTTTCTAAAAAAATACGTTAATAATAAATAATTTTCCTACGTTAATGCTGTTAATTCTGTTGATACAACGTTGCAAACTTGACATCACAGACCTATAAAAATGCTCATTTTGTTCCGTTTTTGAATTAAAAAACGAACTTATTGACCACCTAAAGGTATGATAATGTAGTTTAGCTGAAATTCTATGATAAGATTAGTCTTGTGTAAAAGTTTTACCGCGAGTGTAAGTATAGATTTAACGATACAGCGTTGCAAAGTTTATGTATATAAGCTTTAAAAATGTTTTTATTTTTAAGTTTAGTGTTTGTTTGTTTGTTTTTTTGTGTTTTTTTGTTTTTTTTTGTTTTTTGTTTGTTTTTTTTTGTTTTTTTGTTTTTTTGTTTTTTGTTTGTTTTTTTTTTTTTTTTTTTTTTTTTTTTTTTTTTTTTTTTTTTTTTTTTTTTTTTTTTTTTTTATGAAGTAAACAATTAACGTTATCTGCAGATGTAAGATTGATTTGTAGTGATGCAGCGTTGCCAAGCTTACAATTTTGAACTCAACGAAGTATGATTTTTTTTTTAATTTTTTTTCCAGTTTAAGATATAATCAATGGGTATCATCCCTCATATCAATCCAAAATATCAAGGTCTGATGTCTGTTCCAAGTGACAATTGGTTTTTGCAATAATACTTTCGCCAAGTTTATTCACAATTCTCTCCAAGCAATAAATAAAAGACGATTTTAAAATAAAGATGCTTCCAGTAGTTATTTGATTTTGCTTATTTTTTTATTTACATTGCCATTTTTTTCTTTCATTTTTATATGACTTTCTACCGTACATTATTTTTCATTTTTTTTTATTTTTGTTTTTTTTATAGTTTTTTATCTTCTTCCTTCAAAATATTTTATTCTTGTGATGCTTCAGTATCAGTCCTGTCTTGCCTTCAAATCTATAGAAAACGCCTCAACATGATGCCATTTTTAAACTTTCACCCTCCAAAAGTCATATTTAAATATTTTTAAAATTCTCTCTTAAGGAGGCGTCTGGTTTTTTTATACATTAACGCAACAGTTATTTAAATATTCTATTTAGGTTTTAAATTATATTTTATTGTTTTGTTGGTGTATTTATTATTTTTCGTTCATTTAATTTACTTTGCATTTTTTTTTTTTTTTTTTTTTTTTTTTTTTTTTTTTTTTTTTTTTATTACTTTCATATTTTCAAAATCTTCCATTCTCACGGTCAACATACTCAGTTTTTTAAGGCATAATGAATGTATCGTCTGTATCAAGATTATTTCTACTTAAAAAAACCCAAACGCCTCCATATTCTATATTAGTTTCTTCATTACACCCAAAAAAGGTTGAATTCGCAACTAAGTCTAGGCAGAATATTTCAGATCTTGAAAGCAACGCTGATGCTGAATCATCCATTGTATTCCAAAAATCCTCTGGAAATACATTTTAAAGTAAAATAACTATTGGAAGTATCCTTATTTTCAACTAATTTTATACAATCGAATGTTAAAAGAAAAGCAGATAAAATTTGCAACGATGTTATTTTAAAGCAATTGTCACCCAGGATCAACATAAAGCCTCCACATTTCGCTTCACACTATTAACCATTAACTCATATTGTATCTTGTCTCCAATACAATAACAAGAAAAAGTAGATATTTTCATAGATGAAAGATGTAAACTTTGCAACGCTGTATTGCCCAAAATTATCGTATACTGATTAAATCTATGCTATACGTCTAAACTTTGCAACGCTGCATTGCCTAAAATTATCGTATACTGATATAAATTTTACTATGAGTCTGCGAGTATCTCTAATTGTATATTTTATGTCTCAAATACTGCTACAATATACAAAACTATAAAAAATGGGTATTTTTAAAGGGCAAGAATGTAATTTTTGCAACGTTGTACTGCTATTAACGGCTCATCCACAATTTGAAACTTTTACTACGGATTTTCTTATAATTTTTCAGTTACGCGTCATGTTTACTCGAAACTTACATTACTTGTCACTTACATTACTTAGAAATTGGCTTTTGGAAGAAATTCTTCAAAAATATGAAGATTTTTAAGACTCAAACATGCAAACTTTGCAACGCTGTAGCTCCACAACCAATGGCGTGGCGTGAATTGCGATATATCGATTGTCATGCCATTTAAACCTATGAAAAAGGATCGATAGACAGGGTGTTCGCAGCGAACACCTTAATAATCGATTCTTTACCATATCTTTAAATGGCATGAGAATCGATACATCGCCATTCACGCCACGCCACTGTCCAAAACCAAACGTATCCTCAAGCTAAAATTTTTACCGGAGGCTTGTCTCATCATAAGGTTTCATTTCGGTCACGTACGAATGAAATCCCCGGGTTTCAAAAAAGGTCGCTCCTCTGACATAAGGACGTATCTCACTTTTCACATGAACCGCAGAAAGCATGGATTTGAATGTGACCCAGGGCTCACGAGGAAATTGAGATTCGCCCTTTCGTCAGTGGAGCGACGAAACGGGGCCACTCACTGGTAGGCTTTTTAATCTATTTTCCTCCCTCAATTGGACTGCATTTTGCAATTTGGAACTATAAATTCTGGCCCGGTTTAAAAAAAAAACGCATGTGCCATTAGTATCCCTATGCACATAAGTGGTTTTTTTTTCAGATGAGCCAGAATTTATAGTTCCAAATTGCAAAATGCAGTCCAATTCGTCGTTACCTCCCACGAAAGAACATAACTATACATTTGGATTACATTTTGCAATAAGGAACCACTATTTCTGACTCTTCCATAAAACCGCCGTTCTGCACAGGGAAACCAATGGCATTTACGTTGTTTCTAAAATGAGCCAGAAATAGTGGCTCCTTTTTGCAAAATGTGGTCCATTTCATTGTTGCCAGATTTCGCCTCGTAAATTTGAATTTGTAAAGGAAAATGTTAGGTATTAATTGTACATTTCACTGATTTCTCCGCTGATCTCATGAAAAACGAAAATAAATTTTGGATAAAGATTTCGCTTTCTCGTGTTTGTGAAAAATTGAATTCTTTGAATCAATTTGACAACCTTGGAATGGAGTTACGTTTGTCGTAGCGAATTCAGTGAATAGTTTATTCTGCAGAATCTTGGAAAAATAAGACAGTTTCAAGGCATTATGTTCCGTAGTTCTGCAGTATTACAGAAACAGAACATCAGGAAAATCTAAGCACCGTCAATGTAGATAAGTTGATTCTACCTAAAATCGCCCGAATGATGACAGCGGCGATGATCAGCGTTGAGGAAGAATGAAAGGGCTTGTAGGACAAAGCGCGTAAGTGCAGTTTTTGCTACCTCGAGAAATATGTGTTTGAAGTTTTGAAATTACATGGATCCTTATGGCGGAAAGAAAGTTCAAACTGACTTTTTAAGCTTAAAAATTGAAATTTGAGAGGGAATTTTTCACAAAATATGCACTAAGACTAGTTTTACTTGAAATCATTATCGAGAAATGTGTGTTTGAAGTCTCAAAATTACACGGATCCTTATGGCGGAAAGAAAGTTCAAACTGACTTTTTGAAACTTAAAAATTGAAATTTGAGAGGGAATTTTTCACAAAATATGCTCTAAGACTAGTTTTACTTGAAATCATTATCGAGAAATATGTATTTGAAGTCTCAAAATTACACGGATCCTTATGGCGGAAAGAAAGTTCAAACTGACTTTTTGAAGCTTAAAAATTGAAATTTGAGAGGGAATTTTTCACAAAATATACACTTTGACTAGTTTTACTTGAAATCATTAAAATCTCAACTTTCTCAAAAACTGCACCTATGCGCCTTGTCCTCCAAGCCCCTCAAATTTTTTAGCAGCCCATTTCTAAAATTGAAATTATTGACAGTAACCGATTCATTAGAAGTTGAGGTGATTCAATGAACGCCATATTTTGTGCCAGAACGACATGCGAAATATCGCGTCAATTGGTTTCATTTTTTCAGCTACTTGTCATTTTTCTCGAATTTTGAGATCGCAATTCTGTTGTCAGGAGACTAAAGAATTCATCACTAAATTTTGACAAACAAATTCATCGTAATGAAGTCGTGTGTTTTTTTATGAGACAAAATATCGCATTCGAATGCAGTATTTTTCCTTTATTTTCCTCACGTCTTTGATACTTTGAATTTGTTCATCAAAATTTATAAGTGAATTATTTAGTCTCCTGACAATAGAATTGCGATCTCAAAATTCGAGAAAAATGACGAGTCGCCGGAAAAATGGAACTAATCGATGCTATATATCGCATGCCGTTCTGTCACAAAATATGGCGTTCATCGAATCACCTTAATTTTCGAAATAGGAGGAAGCTTGAGAGATCTTACCGTGAAGAAGCGATGATCTGCAAGGTCAGGAACAGCTCTGATGCGTAGGGTGAAGATTTCCATCCTCGTTCATCGCCTTCTCGAATGTTGGCTGCAAAGAAAAAAATTAATATAATTAATTGTCTAGTATATGGAACAGCTTAACAAATAAATTGAAATAATGTTGAAAAATAATGGAATAAAACTGCTTTTTTTACCACAAAATTACAATATTCTCACAAAATGTATTCAATAATAATCAATTTTCAACGATTAAATATTTTCATATCGACGACCTAAGGAGATTTGATGGACGCCATATTTAGTGTCAGAAAGGCATGCGATATATCGCATCCATTGGTTCCATTTTTTCAGCTACTCGTCATTCCTCTCCAATTTTGAGACCGCAATTCTGTTGTCAGGAGACTAAAGCACTCGCTTACCAATTTTAACAAAGAAATTCAACGTAATAAAGGCGTGGTTTTTTTTAGAGAGAAAATATCGCATTCGAGTGCAGTTTCGATATCAGTATCGAATGCGATGTTTTCTCTCTGAAAAAACCATGCCTTTAGTACGTTGAATTTCTTTGTTAAAATTGGTAAGTGAGTGCTTTAGTCTCCTGACAACAGAATCGCGATCTCAAAATTGGAGAAAAATGACGAGTAGCTGAAAAAATGGAACCAATTGATGCGATATATCGCATGCCGTTCTGACACAAAATATCGCGTCCATCGAATCACCTTAAGTGTAGAAACACGCGTTTCCGTCTGCTACTCAACAGATTTTCTGTCATACTTCATTTTTTCTCGGGGGAACTGGTCTACCTAATTTCTTTAAAACTTCCGTGATTTTTTTTCAATGTTTGCAGAATACTTTGCATAAATTTCAAGCTATGAAGTTTGCTTGTTTCTCTTCGAAAAAATAAAATAAAGGTGGAAATTTTATGACACCTCAATAGAAATGCATGATTTTCCACTTTGGCCATCGATTTTTGGAGAAGTTAGTAATTCGCAAATGCAAAAAATTGCAACACATTTCAATACGCAGAATACCTCGATAACTCCACTGATTGTGAAAAAATCTCGAGAAAATCAAAAGATTATCGCCCACAGGGATTCTCAAATTATATTTTCGATGGCCGAAGTGCGAAACCACCCATCTCCGTCTCCGACGTCCCGGACCTCCTGTTACACTTTACTTTTTCTTAGTAAAACTAGTCAACTTATTCCTTGAAAACTACCTCGATTTTTCCTCTCTTTCAGCAAATTATTCACGGAAAAAAAACACATTGGATCTAGAGTCCAGACTCTTAAAAAAACATCAACAAGAAAAAGTACTCTTGATTCAATCAGAATCTAACTTTAATTAAAAACCAAGCCTCTTAATTTAAGCGGATTTCGTTTTGATTCAAGCAAAGATCCGATTGAATCAAGAGAGTATTCTTTCTTGTCAATGTTTTCTAGAGTCTGGACTATAGATCCAATGTGGTTTTTTTTTTTTTTTTTTTTTTTTTTTTTTTTTTTTTTTTTTTTTTTTTTTTTTTTTNTTTTTTTTTTTTTTTTTTTTTTTTTTTTTTTTTTTTTTTACCAGTGTTCTGTAAAGATATCAAGCCAAACAGTCGAGTTAATTTTCCTCGGAAAAAAAAAAAATGGTAGCATAAATTTTACTGGAAATACGTGGTTTCACACCTTAGTCATCGATATTAAATTTAACCACACTTCTCTCGTAAAAAAAAAAAAAAAAAAAAAAAAAAAANAAAAAAAAAAAAAAAAAAAAAAAAAAAAACATTTTGTTGATGACATCAAGCGACTTACCGAATCAACGCTGAGGAATACACGTGAGCAAAATGACTTCCAAAACGATATCCTCAAATCAAACATAGGAATATCACTGAAAAATCACTACCGAAAATTCGCGCAATGACAACCGACACAAGTGACAAATAGTAACTCCACTTATTGTAAAACACAGCAAACTATTGCACTTCACCAATAAAGTAGAAGCATGCTGACGAAAACTTTCGACGGATAGAAAACTTGCGGAAAGTAAGGTTGCTCAACTATTCACTGCACCTTCTATATTCACGAGATAATTCACAGAGAAAAATTTTAATAGTAAAGTACCGAACACGAAAATATAGTACCGAACACGAAACTAAAGTACCGAACACGAAACTGCACTGATGGTAATACACTTGAAGCACACGACTATCACACGCGGTCCCGAGATGAATATATTTCCGATAAAATAAACTTCCGATTTAAGTATCCTCCTATGGGTTGAGCTCAAGCTCAACCCCCACGGCTGCGCGACTTCGACTGACCAAAGTACCGAAAGTTCCGAGCCCCCGAGGTCTCCAACTTTTTCCTTGTTGTTCTCGAAAACAAAAGAGTGGCTTCGATTTCCAAAATATCCCTACATTTTGGGTTTCCCAGGTGAAAGGTCAGTGCAAGCTTACAAAAGAAAATGTCTTCATTGAACTGAAAACTAATTGGATGTATTTCTATCAAACGGCACCATGTGCGTTAAGACATTAGCCCTGAGACCCATACGAATATATCCATAACAGGGCTCACGTCATAATGCACATAGTTCCGTTTGATAGAAATACGTCCAATTATTACAATAATTAATGAGGGTACCTGGATTTCCCGGATTAATTCATCTCTCACTTTTCACAA